TCAGAAAACAATGGAATTTGTATGAAACGCATGAAGAGTGACTATGGATTGATGTTTGGCAACAGGAACAGTCCAGTTCCATAGGATGAACTGATCTTTTGCAAATGAACGATTTACGATATGGTTTTCCGATTTTACTGACTAACTCTGTAATTCTCGTTAAATACAATTCGGTTGCCCCCACCTGTGTTCTCATTCTCTACAGTAGTAGAAAGATTAGTCATAATGAGTCGTTGGTCACTATGTTTGCTCGAACCCAATATAAACTACTCAGACCAGTTTTAATTACCTTCATGAACTAATTCTACGTAGTGGTTTATCCATCCACAGTATTCTTTCAACCTCTTTCTGTACCAGTTGACGTTATGCTTGGAGTTAAATGGCGGATGGACATATACTAACCACCAAGAACGTGTTTTACGCCAGTTGAAAACAGATTTTCACCAGTTCCGAAATATTATTTTAGACGATCTACAAATTTATAAAAGAAATTCCCCGTTTGCTAAATCCTAAAAACAGATATTATTCAGTTTCATTCAGAAGTTGAAAACTTAGGAATCTTAACTAGCAGTAAAATTCGCAAAATAACTCTAATATTTTTGTCTATACGAATAAGTCATAAAGTTCTTTTATTAAACATGGTCTTGAGAAGTTTTGATAGGGTGAAGTGCCTAGTACCACGAAATTAAACAAAAGAAGAGTATTAATTGATATCTTCTATGTACTCAGCGATCGTTTGAAACTTATATGAAGAATTCATTGGAACCAAGAATTAAAAATATGAATTAACCTGGAAACGCTGGATATCCATTTTCTTCTAGCATGGAACTAATCAGGAGTGCACATCCACAAAATCTCAGTGGGAAAATCGAAGTCAGGATCTTCGGTCTCGCGCGTGAACGCTTAACCCTTAAACCACTGAGAAATTCTGAAAGTTTGCAATCTAACTGTATTCAAGCTACTTCCGATATAGGTAATTTGGATATAACTTATTTGGCCCTAACAACAGGAATTAAACAGTGATGTGGTCGAACGTGTAGACCGCTTCACTTATCTTGGGAGTCTCATCAGTGCTGATGGCCTGATGACTGACGAAATCTCGGCACGGATACAGAAGGCGCGATTGGCTTTTGCCAAACTGCGTCACTTATGGAGTAGGCGAGATATCCGTTTGCTGACTAAAGGACGAGTGTACTGCGCAGTGGTTCGCTCCGTCTTACTTTATGGCTGTGAAACATGGCCAATGAGAATAGAAGAAACTCGTCCGTTATTGGTTTCCGATCATAGGTGTCTTCGAAGCATCGCTCGTATATCGTGGGACAACCGAGTGAGCAACGCTGTTATTAAGAAACGGGTACTAGGTAAGAATGGCAGATCAATAGATGAAGTGGTGAAACTTCATCAGTTGAGGTGGTTGGAACACGTGTTGCGTATGCCTAACCACCGACTGCCTCGACGAGCTTTGTTTTGTAGTGTAGGAATAGGTTGGAAGAAAGCTAGGGGCGGCCAGACCAAAACATGGCATAAATCCATGAAGTCATTGACGAGTGGACTTAGCCATGTCGGTAGTTATCGACTACCTGGTTGGGGTCCGCGAGATGATAATAATCGATGTCTAGAGACCTTGAATGACATGGCTCAAAATCGTTTGCAATGGCGCCAGTGCATTTATTCTTTGTGTTCTCTCAAATCCTAATCTTCTGGATTCTTCAACACCTCTAGTTTTTACTTTCTAAACTTATCTCATTGAATCATACTTCTTGAATAATATCTTCTAATTCTAACCTCTCCGATTACTTCTAATACCTTTACTACCTCTTCTTTTATTGGATTTGAATTGACAATTATATCTCTGTGCTGATGTGGTATGGCGACATGAACTGATGTACTTACGTACGAAGTTCTACGTTGCAACTGACTGACTGACTGACATGGTATTCCAAGAACTTGAGACCACAGTCAAGAAATTCGTGTTAGATGAAATCGAATATGCTGTACATAAACGAATTTATCATTGTCATTTCAGTAAGCCTAATGAATAAACTTTACCGCTTAGATGACGGAATTCAATTTACAAGTAAACAGCAATCCCTATATGAATAACATGAACACAAATTTTTTCACAGGATTCACCATCGAACTAATAGATATGAACATTTTTTTAGTAGAAAAGGCTAGTCTATGAAAATAACCCAGAGAACACTAGCAGGTACATGTGTCTTTTGATCGATAGTTTACGTAGTTTCCCTAGCTTCAGATGCATACATTAGAAATGTTTTCGGTAGGCCTAACAACAAGGTTGTTAAATAAGTTTACTGAGTCGCCCAGAATTGACGTGATGAACCTCGGTGGTCCGGGGTACAGGCTTCAAACCTGTAGCCGATTATCATCAGAGCGGTTCGGTTCCGCCTTCCCGGCGTGTAATACGGTCGCATCGCTTACCTACAGGTATGCTGAGGCTGGGTTGTCGTGACTACTGTCTATGCTGGGACATAGTACGCTATCGTAAGTAGGTACGCTTTGGCAACAAGTCATCAGGTAAATGGTACTTAATTTATCTACGTTTCTGGCGACATCATTTGGGAGTTTTTCAAACCTCTTCAATAGAAGAAACCCTAAGAAATAGCGTGAGAGTAGGCTTCCTCAGTTACCTTGTCCATATCATTTACTCGATTTGTACATTTATAATTTTCCTTCCTAATTTTTAAGATCATTTTCTTTATCTGTAGTTTCTTGTAATGATCACTTGTCCAGGAAGGTTCAAGAACATCATTAATAAATCAAGCACATCAGTAGTCGCTGAGGTAGCAAATTTATAGAACAACTTGTGATTACGGATTGTTCAGTCCAAATGTGTTTGTTTATTTAAATTACTCCACAAGATGAACGTGGACCCACCAAGCTCAATGTACCTCAATCTTCCATTTACTCCCAAAAGTACAGTTTTGAGTATATATAAATATTTATTTGGAAACACGTTCAACAATAAAATAATTTAAAATCTTTTGGCTATAGCTTCTGAATGGAATTCATGAATAATAACACTATATGATGCCATAAGTTGCTCATTCTTAAAACTGTGGATTATATTCCGACTAGTCTTTAAGTAATCGTAGCCCGTCCTATAAAAAGTAAACAATTTGTTGCACTACTGATAAGTTATTTAGTAGTATGAACAGGTGAATAAATAAATCTAAAATTTCCCTATTCTTTAGGATTCAGAAAATATATTTGCAAAATATTTTTAATCTCAAAACCCTTATTTTAAAATTCCATTTATTAGGTTTCCTAAATATTTCCTGGACTATATCGATTAGTTTCTAATTGTCAGAGGTCACTAAAAATCCTTATGTTAATAGAAACTAGTGTTCTCTGGGTTATTTTCATAGACTAGCCTTTTCTACTAAAAAAATGTTCATATCTATTAGTTCGATGGTGAATCCTGTGAAAAAATTTGTGTTCATGTTATTCATATAGGGATTGCTGTTTACTTGTAAATTGAATTCCGTCATCTAAGCGGTAAAGTTTATTCATTAGGCTTACTGAAATGACAATGATAAATTCGTTTATGTACAGCATATTCGATTTCATCTAACACGAATTTCTTGACTGTGGTCTCAAGTTCTTGGAATACCATGCAACTGTTTAATTCCTGTTGTTAGGGCCAAATAAGTTATATCCAAATTACCTATATCGGAAGTAGCTTGAATACAGTTAGATTGCAAACTTTCAGAATTTCTCAGTGGTTTAAGGGTTAAGCGTTCACGCGCGAGAACGAAGATCCTGAGTTCGATTTGCGGTTGCCGCTTGCCTACAGGTATGCTGAGGCTGGGTTTTCATTACTGTCGTCTATGCTGGGAAGCAGCACGCTACCGTAAGTAGGTACGCTTTGACACCAAATCAGCAGGAACTCTCAACGAATGCATGCTGCATTGTTGTACATAAACAAGCGATTATGCGACAATTCTTTTTTCTGAATCACTGCTTACTCTGTGGTTTAGTTATAGCTTCCGATGTACTCATAGTCATCAATGTTGAACTAACAAACGTCAGGACTGGTAAAATTTGGTTCACCAACCACATGAATATTTAAACACAACTTGAAGCAAAGACACCGCAGTGTATGAAACCTTAACGAATTCTCTGCAGTTTGTGAAAAGCGTTAGCCGGATGAGTGAAGTAATTGTTATACTGGTTTGTGAATACGAAGGATCCATCTAAGAACTTTGGAAGATCTTAGTTCCAGACTGAAGAAACATGGTCTAGGGTTCTAAAGGAACTGGTGTGGTACGAACATACTCTGACACCTGTTATCATAGGACATTATCTTCTAACATTGCTCAACTCACGTGTAAATTACGTCTTTAATTAAAAGGACCAGGATTGCTTCCATAAGAAGACTAACTGTTTCATTTTGGGTAACGTAATTCGAAATGAAATTAAACTCAACAACATATACACAATATCCTGTCATAAATATATGTCAGTGTGCATTAAGATAGGTTATTTTGAAAAGTACTAATTGGTATCTAATAATTTCCCAACAGCATACAAACAATATTAATTTTTACCTAAAATGGAGATTTCTGCAGGGATAGTAAGGCTAGAAATAATCAACTAAACTGACATTATAGTATTTAGAAATTTTGGACAATAGACGGAAAGTGTTGTACTTCAAGCATTATGTAAGTTGAAACTTGTCAGCAAATGTATTAACAGGAACTTAAAACTAAAACCAAATCAGTTTTGTAAACAAGAACTTTACCACCGATCATGTATTCTACCAACTGATACCTACATCTTCCTATCAAATATACTAATAAATTACTGAAACGAAGCAAATGTTATATTTTGCCCAAATATTAAATGAAGACTTCAAATTTTTTGGCAAAACTTCCATAGAAAGTTATTATAATAAACATGAACCTCAGAATACTTATTAGTGTATTCTATGGAAATTTAATCAATAAAGATTTTTTTCAACAAAATGAGATAATTTTTTATGTATTGTGTACCATAGAAAACAATGAGCACGAACATTAGATTGGACTGAATAGAAGATGTCAATAAATTTAAACTAAAAATTATACTATTTATAAGTATGAAGCATTATTCAAGCATAAAAAGTGGTAATACAGTTGTTAATGGACATTAAATTAATATATTTTTATCAATGATCTACACATGTTCAATAGAAGGATATATTTACAGAAATTACATGAGTCAATTATGAACACATAAACAAACGATTGAAACAAGTTACAAAAATGAAAAGAGAACACTGTAAAAGACCAAGGATAGAGAGTGAAGAAATGATAAACGATTAAGCATAAAATAAATATTAATTTGAATAAATTAATAATATGAAGGCACCTTTTTTTCCTCTGAAAATAATAATGTAATGACTTCTTTCTTGCATAAAATTGATCATCGTTTCTCTATATATGTATATATATATATTTGATAAGATTAAGAGTTAAATGTTAGCTGATAAACTTTTAGGAACTGAAGCATTATACAATGATGATAACTCTTTTATATCAGGTGCCTGACCTATAGCATATAATAATTGGTAGATTAAACCTTCAATCCATACATATAACATTTCATATCTGGGTAATGAAACAAAGTGAAAAAAGAAAGCAATTAACAAGAATATGAACAATAACAACACAGGTAATTATTTGGGATGAACTGACTTACATTTAACTAGCCTTGCATAATTAGCAAAAAAATATAATATAATGGCTTTAGTCAATATTATATGTAATAATCAGCATACAGTATTTCAACTACTTTTACTCACTCTTTTTATACATCACAAAAATAGGTAAATACATGCATTTTTAGACACGAAATAATCAAATGAAATATTTATTAGAACATCAAGATATATACAACTGTAAAGTAACACCCGCCAGCAGTTGGTAAAATTTAAAAATGCCTATACACAGTCTTAGTCATAATGACATCAAAATATCCACCAAATACCTAAATATATTTTTTCTATTTAAACACATAGTTATTGGTACGATGATGCATCGAATTATAGTTGCGCCACAAAAACCAATGAATGTGTGTGGGTTGGGATGCTGTTCGGATCCCCAAAACGCGACAGATAGTTTCCTTAGGGAGTAACTCCGCGAGCCTTTGATCTATAGGTCTAATCCATAAGGCAGTGGAATAACCTAAGGGATTATAATCTCCCAGTGGCCAGTGACTAATAACAGGTTCATACGCCATTCGTCTCATGAGGATTCTGGAACCTACGTGCAGCATCGGTTTAGAATCAGGGCTTTCCAACTCCTCTTGGTGGGTTCTCCTTACCCACGAACCTGCTTAAAGCGTCGGATATTTAATTTTCGTCCTCATAATCCCGTAGACAACATTCTCTACATGAGAAGGGAGTGAAAAGGACTTTCCTTGCAGTAGTTATATACGCAACCTGTTCAACCTCTTATGCTTTTTCTAGCCTCTAAGACCATTCCTCAAGTATGTTTTCACAGGGGGGGGGGGGGGGGACTTTGTTTTGTGTTTATTATGTTTTTGTATGTTTAAACCGTGGTCAATATTTATTTCCTGA